CAGCAAAATTTAATTACAATTTAAATTTTTATGAATAATTTTAGCTTTAATAACATTTTTTATTTATTAATTTATATTATATTTTACTAAAATTAATACTTGTATTACTAATATTATTTAAAATATAATAAAAATAATAATTAAGTTCAAACTCCGAATTATAAAATTTTAATTTTTTAATTAAATTTAAATCAAGTAATCTGCATGAATTATTATATTTTTTTAAAAATTGAAAATAATAAATTTGTTATATTTTGTAGAATTTAATCTCTGGCGACTTATCAGTTTCGCTTATAAATCCTCAAATTACGAGTTGTAAGCTTGAAAATTCTATGATAAGGATCATCAAAATCCATCTTAAAGAATTTAAACAAGTCTTTTAATAATTATAGGATTAATTTATAATAAAAAATAACTGTAATACATATGATTTTATTAAAGTAAAATAAATCTATTTCTCATTTGATACTAATAAAATAATTATGAAATTAATTTCAAAATAATCAAAATGTAAGACTTGTAATTAAAGCAGAAAACATAAAATTTTCGTCTTTTGCTAATTGGATAAGTTTAATATGTAGTATTTTTCTTTATGACAAAACAAATGACTTTTGTGGAAAATCCCAAGAGTGAGGAAGAGTCGAAAAGATGCGTAGAGAAGAGAGGAGAGACTCATCGTAAGTCGTGGATTTAGAATAAAAGCTGAATAATCGATAGAAGGAAGGAAATCCAGCTTCGTCTGTCCTTCCATTTCCGCAATTAAGAAACCAATTTTTCTCACAATTGAGAAGTTGTAGGAACGAAGAGCTTCGAAATTTGATTTTTTTCAACATTCATGGCTTTTTATTTACAGATTTAAAATCAGGAATCAGTTTCATGAGAAGAATATTGACAAACTTTTCCTTCTTTTTTTCTGCTTTTTTTTTCTTTTTTTTAAAGTAATAATTTAGCTGGTTTTTTTCCACTTTATGCATATTGAAACCTTAAAAATAAAACTTACATTCTTATACTTTTTTAATATTGTACATGAATTGGAAAAAAAATTGTGTAGAAAGCGTCAATCATTTACTGTTTAAATAAAATAGTTAATGATTGAAGTTAATTTGATTTTAAATAATAGAAAATATCAGATAATTATTAATTTTGAATATTTTATAGCAGTGTTGTATAGTTTCTTCTAATATAGAATAATAGAAATTCTTTATAATGTAATATATTACACTATAAAGAAAAATGTCGAAAAAAAATAAATATTTGAAATTATATTATTCGTTATCTCTATTAAGTTTATTTAAAAAAATATATATTTTGAATATTTCTATCTTTTCGGCATTTTTCTTTACAATGTAATTTATATTACATTTATATCACGTAAATAAATAACAATAAAGCCATTGTTATGAGAAACTCTAAGGTAACAAAAATAATAACATCTCCTATTATTAATGTATGTAAAAATACTTAATTAAGGATAATTGTTCAGATATGTACCGTAGGTTACAATTCTTACTTATAGTAATACAAAGATAATTATCTTAATGAAGTTTGCCTTAATTTGAACTGACTAAAATGTTAAAAAAATTACTTTAATAATTTGAAATTTCTATATATAATTTTTGGTGAACTTAACATATATTTTAACAATATTACTTTAATTATGAAATACTAAAAAATAATATTGTTTTTCCTTTTTATATGTGTGTAATCTAGTCCAGTAGAGTAATGGAGAATAGATTCGGTAGGAGGTAACAAATAAATTTAAGTTAAAATAAATATACATCTCCTTATATTTTAACAAACAAAAATGCTTATAAAACAAAAATTTAGTTTTAATTTCATGATAAAATTATTTACTTTTGAGGAGTACCTTTGCCTCCCGCAGTCGTCCTGTCTTATTGTCATTATAAATTTCAAAAATAAGAGATTATTTTAATATATAATGTTCTTTTCTCATTAAGAATAGATTTTGTTTTCATTTAAATGAATAATAATTATTTTAAATATATTTTATATACTATTTTTTTTATAGAAGAAAATCTCTGAATTATAAAATATATAATGTTTTATAAGTATATACGATAATATTTAGTAAAATATATATTTTTTATTATAAAAACAATAAAATATTTTGCTTTTTCGTTTCAAAAACGTGGAAAAAAATAACGTTTAATAGCAATAAAAGCAATATATAAGAGCATACCATTCTACAATTTATAAAGAAAAAAACAACCATTTTCATTGTACTTTATAAAATTTTAAAATAGTTTCTCTCCTACTTTTATATAATTAAATAAATTTCCATTCAGTAATTTTTATTGATATTTTTTTAAAAGGAATTTTTTATTCAAAAAATTTCAAAAGAAAAATTTTTATTGAGCCATTTCCAAATATTTTTTCTTGCTATAAAATCTTTAATGTTCAAATATTACTTTACTCGACATTGTTCGGAAAAAGTGTCTTTTCGTGTATCTTCAAAAAACTGTCTAAATATTGACAGAAAAACTTCTAAGAACAAATAAATGTCAAATCCTTTATTTTTATTGCAGAACGTGACTTTCTACACAAATAACTTATTTTAACTATTTAAGAAGTATTCTTATATAATATTGAAGTTTATTTAAGTACGCTGCTATGTTGTACTNTTTAATT